GTTTATAATCATATTCCCACCATGGAACACTTGTACATGTTCATTTACCAGCTGTTTATAATCATATTCCCACCATGGAACACTTGTACATGTTCATTTACCAGCTGTTTATAATCATATTCCCACCATGGAACACTTGTACCTGTTCATTTACCAACTGTTTATGATCATATTCCGACCAAGGAACACTTGTGCCTGTTCATTTACCAGCTTTTTATAATCATATCACCACCATGGAACACTTGTATCTGTTCATTTACCAGCTGTTTATAATCATATCCCCACCATGGAACACTTGTACCTGTTCATTTACCAGCTGTTTATGATCATATTCCGGCCAAGGAACACTCGTACCTGTTAATTTAGTAGCTGTTTATAATCATATTCCCACCATGGAACACTTGTACCTGTTCATTTACCAACTGTTTATGATCATATTCCCACCATGGAACACTTGTACATGTTCATTTACCAGCTGTTTATAATCATATCCCCACCATGGAACACTTGTTCCTGTTCATTTACCAGCCGTTTATAATCATATTCCCACCATGGAACACTTGTACCTGTTTATTTACCAGCTGTTTATAATCATATCCCCACCATGGAACACTTGTACCTGTTCATTTACTAGCTATTTATAATCATATTCCCACCGTGCTGTTCTTTCAAGATTATTGTCTAACGAGGTCTAGGTCAGATCCTGGACTCTTGGGGATTGCCAAACAGTGAGAGGTATGTAAAATGTCTCTGAACAGATAACTCTTAGCATATTCACTCTCCTTGTTTGGCAGTGACTTCCCGTGTCTAGTTACACAAATGAAAACCTTCACGAAACGTTTATTTGAAAAAAATATATATAGCCAATAGGGCTCAAAACTTGACCTTAAACAGCAAAGTGCAGGACTGAAATATCAATTAAACAAATTGTGATTGGTCAAAACTGTAATGACCCAGTTACAACAACGTCCTGTCCTAAAACGACTGTTCAAAATAGTGTGGAAACTATCACCATGGCCAAGTTTAGTTGTATATATGTGTATATTACCTGTAGAAAGCCTATTCCTTTCACCTGTGGATGGACAGTCTCCCAGTCTTCATTGAATCTTGTGACTGACCTAGATTCATTTCTGATTTCCACTGTCGTCATTGCCATGACAATCGCTCTCAGATACCCTAGAGCTCAGTCACTTTCCTTTCACTAATGCCTGGTTGTTATGTCCAGCAGGAAAGAACTTTAAACAAGACTGCAAGTTTTGGTTCCTACACAAGTAAACAAAATATGCTAACCATCACATGGGAAATAACGTCCAATCTTCTTGCCATGGAAATTCATTAACACAAACGTCTTGTTCCTTTTCTGACTCCTTTCAGTTACAAGTTTAGGATAGCTAAAGAATAAAATGAAGTAATACTGCATGGATATTACACCTTGTCACTGGCTAAATACTCATAGTATACACTTTCATATATTTCTACTTTTTCTTGTCCTGAAAGAATAATCAAAATTTTTCATAAAAATGCATGTTTCTAAACATATCTAATATTTAATGATAATGATACAAAACATTGGATTAATCAAGTTTAGATTTGATATGACTAAAGCTAGAGTTTCTAAATTATCTTTCTACAAATAATTTCACTTATCCATGAATACTTCAATTTGATCCAATGAAAAACAAAAGGTCAAAATATGATTACTTCCGAGCATAGCGTGAACCTATCGCTTTCTTTATTTCTTCCATGAAAATCCACTACCTGTTTAATATTTCAATGCTAAAACATAAACTATTTCTTCTCTGAATTAAAGAAATTATCAATTGCAATGTGTCTTCAACTAATACTTTACAGATTAGTAATCAGAGTGAATTTCACATAGCTAAGTCTTAATATCCAGATCAAGTCCTTTATTTCTGCTCATATGTTATTCGATAGTTGTGTTTTCAGTGTACTTGATCCATTTATATTATGCAACACACATTAATGACACATTAATTCTATTCCTGTGTGAAACATCACACACATTTATTAACTTATGCACATATCTTGCCATATAGAATATCTCAACGTTACACATCATCACATACAGTAGTAACTGTAGACATACTCGAGCTACATTACCAGATTAATTACATTGGCTACCTCCCTGCATATCTCTCGATAGCTATGATACCTTAATGCACAGCCATCTATGACCCATTAAACTTCCTTGTTTTCTTGTCATCATGAAATAGCTAATCCTCAACAGAATTTAAACAAACATTAGTTAGGTAACATTCTCTTAGCAATGAATGATATTCCTTCTATCACTACATTGTAGATCAGTATGCACTTCAATAAGCGTTGACTAAATATAATTTTTTTATAGCAAAAAAATAAATTTACTGCTCTAAATGCTTCCAACACCAGTAGCTAAACTAGCAAGATATTGTAGCACCATTAGAGAGTCAATCTACTAATTCAGTAGTTAATGAGCTTCATGTAATCTCTTCTGCTGAAGTTTTGTAACTGCTTGGCTAAACATGGTGAGGAATGTTTGCAGAATATTGGATGAATTTTGCTTCATGTCACTCAATAGATTGGAAAAGAAATAATGACAACACTCTTTCAGCTGAGTTTTTGAATCTAGCATAAGTAACACAAATTGATGATATGCTAAACATAGTATCTTTTAACACCGCCCATCCTAACTGTGTGACATTTGAGTATCTATCACCAGGTAATCAAAGTCATCAATCTCTTTGTGAAACTTTACTCGATAGCTGTCAATCTTGTGATCACAAATCACTCTAACTATTATTAAATGAGTGGTAATTACACAATGCATTGCATATATTTCAATGTGAAATACCATCTGACAGCTGAGAACGCAAAGAATGTTACTTCCTTTGTCATTGATCATATTATCAGTGGCTTTCCTGATCGCTGGTTCAGCATTTAATTATTTTCAGACATAGCAATCAGGTATTAGCTAGCCACTAGAGTTGTTCATCACTTTTTCTCAAGGCGCATCTTCATCTAGCTCATTTTGTACAGCCAGATAAGCTCTTTCAGAATCGTCTTCCTCATCAGTTGAATTGAGATTATACAAGACAATAGTCTTGTCGTTCTGTGACTTGTCAGTTTCGACCTCTTGATTCTTAGTTAAGCCAGTGAATGAGATGCTCATCAGTAACATATAGTAATAGCTTGTCAACATGTCTCTAGCACTTATATGTACCTCATGATTGCTGGACCTTGTATTTCAATGCATAGATTTGTCTAAGTACTAAATAACGATCAGTTTAATCTGATCTGAGCTTTTTCTATACCACTGTCCTGATATATGGTTAGGTCAACCAGTATATTTTCAAATAAATAAATAAATAATCGTGGCAGGGGTTTAGTTTGAAGAAAGAGAGAACGAAGTTCTCTCTTCCCAACAGGGGTGCTCGGGAACGTTTGTTCCCCTTCAACCCCGCGCGTGTACTGTTATCCTTCGTGAGTGTAATTTGTGTGACGTCCTGAGGCGATGTTAGCTTGAGAGGTGGAGTCGGGATGCCGTTCGGAGTGGCTCGATACAGCTTCAAGGCGTTTGTCGAGTCGACGAGAAAGACCAAGACTTTCACCAAGCAGCGAATTTCCATTGGTTGTTTAAGAAGTCTATCATTAGTTTCATATGTTAGTTTTTATAATAATTATAGGAGTTGTTTAAATAAATTGGGTTTTGAACGGGCCCTTTTCAGGGTTGTATTCTCTGGTCT